AGGAGTGGTTCAAAGTGTAATCTATTCAATTTTTATAAACTTTTAAGAGAACAGTGTCGTTAAGTGTTCCAGAGTCACACAATAATATTTTAAAATATATGACCAAATGCGTAATTTATTTATTGAAAACATGTAAGTTATAAGGTGAAGAACCTTATCAGGTAACCATGAAAAAAATATTGCTGTGGGAAAAGCTGATTGGTTGCATGCTTATTTCTCATCACATTGTTTTATATGTTGACTGTCTTGCAGCCTCTTTCATTATGGTCAGGACAGAACTTAAGGGAGATACTTAAAGCAAAATTTTGACTTCTTTGCTATTAACTATGTTGGTTTTTTTTCCTTTAGTGTAGAATCATAGAATGGTTTGGGTTGGAAGGGACCTTTATCTTCTGGTCCCACCCCCCCTGCCATGGGCAGGGACACCTTCGACTAGACCAGGTTGCTCACACCCCTGTCCAAACTGACCTTGAACACTCCAGGAATGGGTCATCCACAGCTTCTCTGGGCAACCTGTTCCAGTGTCTGACCATTGTTACTGTAAAAAAATTCTTCCTTGTATCTAATCTCAATCTCCCCTCCTTTAGCTTAAAGCTGTTATTGTCCTGTCACTACAGGCCTTGGTAAAAAGTCTGTCTTCATCTTTCTTTAGTCCCCTTTAGTTATGAAAGGCTGCAATATGGTCTTCCTAGGACCTCTGTTCTCCAGGCTGAACAACCCCAACTCTCTCAGCCTTTCCTCATAGTAGATGTCTTTGAACCCTCTGATCATTTTTGTGGCCCTCCTCTGGACCTGCTCCAACAGGTCTGTGTCTCTCTTGTGTTGGTGGCTCCAGAACTGGACACAGTACTCCAGGAGGGGTCTCGCCAGAACAGAGTAGAGGGGAAGAATCGCCTCCCTCAACCTGCTGGCCACGCTTCTCTTGATGCAGCCCAGGATACGGTTATTGGCCTTCTGGGCTGTGAGCGCACATTGCCGGCTCACATCCAATTTTCCATCCACCACTATCCTTCTCTGCAGGGCTGTTCTCAGTCCATTCATTGCTGATTGTGTGGTTACTGTATTCACAGTTGTGTTTTGTGGGAAATAGGAAATTATTTGTAACATTTTTTTTCCTCATTGTTCTTTTTTAACTCTCTTTCAGAATTCCCCACTCTACCAATATCTGCAGGATTTGGGACACACAGATTTTGAAGTATGTTCATCTGTGTCGCAGAAGGCAGAGCAATGTGCAGCAGCGGAAAGTCAAAGAGAACGGACTGTGCATGCTACCCAGAAAGTGAGCACACTCTTGTTTTTGAGTATTTATCTTCTTGAAACAGAATTGCATTACTTGACAAATAGGCAGAATCAGAGGGGATAAAGATAAATCTCTTACTGTATTTAAAAAAACCCAACAAAACAAAACAAAGAAGCAAACAAAAAACCCCAACCAGTTGTCATATCTTGTCTGCAAATGTGTTTGGAAACACGTGGTTTGCCAGCATAGTTTGGAGTGTTTCTTTGCACTTAGGTAAACTAGGGAAGCAAGAGACTTTGATAATGAATTTTTTGAGTGTTGTAAATTATCTTATTTACTGGATATTATTACATTAGCTTAGCATGACAGTCTAGGAATAAAACCTGTCATTTTCTGGAACAAAGCATTTATAGTTCCCAGCCCTTCTCAAGCATTCAGTTGCTAAATACTACTTACTCTGTGACTAAACATATTAAGATAGAGGATTTGTGGGAAGTGAAAATACAATAATGAATCTGAATGAGATAGTAGAACTGTGTTTAGGTTATGGCAATCTTCTAACAGTAACAACTGACAAGGATCATCAACTGATTAGCTCAGACTTCTTATTTCTCTATCGTTTTAAGTAAAGGCTTGTGTATTTTTTAAAAATTTTGGTATAAAAATTATGCTTGAGAATTTGGCCATTTAACGCCTACAATTTTTGCTTTCTTTACTAAAAATAAATAGTATTTTACTGTTACTGGTAGTGTACAGGCAATGTGACTCAGATGAGGAGCTGTAGCATGGGTGAGGAAATTCTTCTTTTGAGGCAGCTAATGTAGGAACCTCTTTGCAACATGTTGAAAATTCAGCAGTCAGTCTGTCTTCTCCTTAGTGCCTAGATGGAGCATGCAAAAAGCAGTTATTTTCTGCCTACCTCATCATTTCCACAGTGGAGAGTTTAATTTTCAGTGGACATGCTCCAACTGTGCGCTAAGCCAGGAGGAAGAAGAGGCCTCCATGCAGACTTCTCTGTCTTGGCCACTGCAGGCTGAGTTGGGCAGCACCTCAGAGGTAAGAACCCAAACCAAGCATTCCTGGGTTGATGCATTGAATTACCATTTCTTTCTCCTCTCTCTTCTCCATGTACAGTAGCTTCCATCTTTGTGCACCTTAGGTCATCTGGTTCTTGCCTGCTGTGGCTTTTAACTTTCCACTGGAGCTCATTTTTCTTGTTGTTCACTCCTGCTTTATACCTCTTCAGCCATCTTCAAATCAGAGGTTTATAACTCCTTTCCTCTTGTTTGTAACCTCTGCTGCTTCCCTGCTCCACAGTGTTCCACCCTTCCAGTTAGCTGGCAGTGAACTGGGGAGAGCATCCTATTTTTCCCAAACAGAGGCAATGTGATATGAGTGGCCTTGAGATCTCCAGAAGGTCTCCCTGCAGGTTTTGGTGGATGGGGATCATATGGCAAATGAGGAGAGCTGATGCTTTTCTTAGGATCTTTTCTCAAATAATGCAATCTTGACAAATATCCACTACTCACTTCTCAGATGCTTCAAGGAATTAGCCAAGTAATAACCAAGTTAGTTGGGCTTTATTTCAACAAATTTTTTTCTGGGTTTGTACATGTCCCTCTTGTTCCTCCTTTGTTTTAGGTGAGAGATGCTTCAAGGAATTAGCCAAGTAATAACCACAGTTAGTTGGGCTTTATTTCAACAGATTTTTTTCTGGGTTTGTACATGTCCCTATTGTTCCTCCTTTGTTTTAGGTGAGTATTTTTTTCATGTGGGATTTTTAATCTATTCTGCTCTATGTAGGATCTTAGGTGGGGTAGGATTCAGAAGTGTATGAGTTGATGTGTGGTTTTTGAAATGTTTGCAATAGTATGGTGTACTTCCAAGGACTGACATGTACAGTCTTTGAAGTGGAAATTTAGAAGTTGCAGTGTGAAGCTTATTCATCTAGCAGTATTCAGAGAAGTGTTGATGGGCCTTATTTTCATATAGTGATATTCATTTCAAGCACTCTGTACAGACTGTGTAAGCTTCCTGACACACTCATTAGTCCATTTGAAAAGACAGGATAATAAAACATGAAACATTTTGCTTTGGTCTTCAGTCCTGTTGGAGTCTGTCTTCATGGATGCCTTGATCACAATTTGTGTTTACCTGTTGGGCAGGTGCACTGTGCACTTTGCTTTACAGCCTCAATCCCCAGCTTCTAAGATTTGTAGCCCTGTGAAAGTGTGCCATGTCTCCCTTCTCTCATGCCCCACTTTTGGATCAAAGATGACCACGTAGATAAGATGCCGGGTGCATATCCATTAAGCAGACCAGTAAGTACCACTGCGTTGCCAGCACATGGATTAGACTAAGCCTGTAAAAAATAACCATACTCTAATAAGAACCCCTAAGGTTAGTCCTGTTCAACCGTGTTCTTGTAGATTTTACAGCTTTTCGAAAAGTTCATCAATCATGTAGAAAAAACTCCAGTCTCGTGTGCTGAGGATTTGTGCGTCCAAGACACATCCAAGACACAAACTAACTGAGGGGAGGAGGAGAAGTGATTCTTGCAGTGTCTCCATGCTTCCTTGTCTAGTTTCTCTAATTTAAGATCATTTTAAATTTAATGAATAAATTGATTTGTAGTTATTGTTGATAACAATATTGTTGATATGGATAGCTATTACATTTGTAATAATGATTGCTTCTGTCAGTGGTCACAAGGCAAGACAATTTAATTCAGGGTTTAAGTCACAAATTTTTATACTTTAATTTAAACCATCTTTAAAAGTATTCATGAAAATATTAGGTCTACTACCCTATTCAGAATTGTCACTCACCATAACCCTCAAGAAACCACCTGAAAATATATTTTCCCTATAAAGCTATTGGCATTTTTTGTTCATTTACATTGAAGATACCTGTTCTAGCTTAGTATAGGAAGGCTTTAATCGAATCACTGTTAATTGAAAATTAGGGTGACATATTTCATTGTTTGGTTATCTGTTTATTACTGTGAAGTAATGCATGGACTATCACTTCTTAGCCACATTACTTTGTTTTGGATAATTACTTTTGTGGAAGTCAGTAAAGCAGTATGATGCTGCGTTCATGTATATAATTTACACTGAATTTAATACAGAAGTGCTGTGGGGTTAAGAACCTGAAAAGTATTAAGATATTCTGCTTTTAAAAGCCTTGAATATTTTGTTTTTTCCCCTCCCTTCCCCTCAAGCATTTTACATTTTGTTTTATTGTGTCGGGAGCAAGTCCTCCAGTATTGTGTCAGATGTAGAAGTAATTCGTCATGGGTTGCCTTGCAGCTTGAAGGGAGTGGGCGTATGAAATAGGCAGTCCATTTCTTACAAATACTAGGATGACATTCACATTGTCTCATCTCTGTCTAGACATGGATACATAGTGGAAAGAAGGAAGAAACCTGTTTGTAATTTCTAGTGATAAAATGTCATAGGTTCTTCTTGCTGCTGTTCCAGTACCAGTTTGGGAAAGTTAACATTTTCCTTTTGTAATCTGATATCAGAAAGTTTGTTTTTGTCAATTTAATTTCTGTGTCCCATTTTGGTAGGATGTCTCAAAAGGAAAGAGAATGAGGGAGAGGCGGCTGGCCACACATTTAAGGAAGTAAACTGGATTTAGGAGGATCTGAGGCTTTGCTACAACTTTTATATGACATACAGGAAAATAATTTCCATTCCTATCCAATCATTTCCTCATTTATACATGAAACTGTTATCGCTTCCCTCCTCTTAGCCTTCACTGGCCTAGTCTCCCTTCCCTGTCTGGGAAACAAATGCTTTCTGGGTTTTGGATATGTACCTACCCACAGTCCTAATATAAAATTATCGTAGTTGGGGCTAAGTGTAATGCAAAAATGTAATCACAGGGAGTAGATGATGTTCCATGCTGAGTGATGCCTAGTATGTGTGGATCGTTTTCCTTCTGTTCTGAAAAGCGAATTTTAAAATGTCTTAAACACTTTATTAACATAAAAATAGAAAAGCTGCAGCGCTGATTTGTCTTTGTGTTTAGATTGTTTACTCCTCTTGTATTGAGTCAAGTAGGAACCCTGTGCAAATACAGTCTGTGACATGTAGCGGGATTTTGACAAGGCAAAGATCTAGTTTGGGATCTTCAGGGACTGAAAAAACAAATCTTGTGGAAAAAAAAGAGGTACCTAGTGTCTGATACAAACATTGCTGCTGTGTCTTGCTGTTCTGCAAAGCAGAACATATGGTTCAGGCTTAATGAAAGGCAGAGGCATCAGATGAATCTTAATTTTTTTTCTCTTTTTATGTATTTTTTTAATCGGAACGTGTTCTTAATGAACATTGAGCTGAACAGCTGTAAAGGTGCTTCAAGGTTGTGTTCTGGGGGCTGATGAAGTGCCAAGCTCCTGTCTGAGGGAGTGTAGAGATGTGATTTAGCGTGCTAATTATAGGTGCTGTGTTCCTGGCTGTACCAATCTCTGGAGAAAAATACAGCTAAAGTTCTGGTCTCATGATCACTGCATACTCAAAAGCACTGTTTGCGGGAGCTCCTAGACCTGTTTTCTGGAATTAAATCCTGTTTGGGTAATTCCACTTGAACTTTAAGAAGTGCATTTCTTTCCATTTGCATTTTTCCTTTCTTGGTCATTTTCCTAGAATGCTGTGCATCTCTGAGTGTTTAAATTGACTCTACTGTCACACCTTATCCCATCTTAGATGTGATAATATTTCATCACTAGAACAGGGCTGGTGCTGGAGGCAGCTACTGAGGATTGTGTTGGGGCTAGCCCTCAGTAGCTGTGCAGGTGACCTGATGTGGAAAGGCAGAGGGACCAGTCCTTTGCCTTTGTCTAGGGCTCCCACCCACTTAATGCTAGCTCTGGGTCGCTGGAAGGGGTTTAATATGTGGCATTATCTTCTTTCCAAAGTGCATAGAATTGAAAGGTGCCAGTGTGAATGATGATATTTTAGATACCTGCTAGTTTGCCATTTCAGGTTCATCCTGCACAAAAAAGAAATAGCCCTTACAATTTTATTTTAGATTCAAAATAATGTACCTAAAATGTGCAAGTCCTGTGCTATTTTGGTTTTTTAATGTTAGGATTTATACGTCTTTGTTATTCAGTTTACAGAAAGTTTGACTGAGTGGTGTTCTAGAGTTGTAAGAAGAATACTCCAGAAGCATTGGCAACATGACCTGACTTGTGTGTTGATGAAAGTTGTTTTACTTGTCAGTAACACTCCCAATGGGAATGCAAACTGTGAGACACTATTCCAAGGATCTGAATAATTTATGTGTTACTGTACTCCACTGGGTCACAGCCCAAGACAATGGGTTGTCTTGCTTTGTGTTTTCAAGCACTGACATGCCTGTTGAGTGTTTATGCAAGCTCAGATTTTTGTTTTTAAACTAAGACATGGAAAATAAACCAAAAGATTACTTATGTAGCACACTAGTATGGGGGTTTTTTTCAGTGATTCTGCAGTCTAGTTTAGTCAGCTGATAGCAGTTAAAAATTATTCTTGGTGTAGATTTAAATGTTTGTGATAAAAGCCCAAAGACTTATGAAGGCTAAGCAGTTCAAAATGGTAGACTCCAAGAGGTGTAATTTTAAATAGTAAATGGACAATTCTTTCTGTACTCGACTTTCAAAATATGGGGAAAGGTACTTCTGAATGGAGTATCTGTCTGCAACTCAGATGCAGGGTAAGGACCTTTGTTTATTTAATCTCAATTTTCTACAAATTGTAGTTTGAAAATTTGATTTTATTTTGCATCACTTTACAGTAAACTTGGAGGATAATCTAGTGCTGCAGTTTGTGACACTCTTCCCCTCTTCCAGTTTATGTCAATGCCCTTGAGCAACATCACAATACAATTACTTGGATTTATTCCATAGTCTAAAAAGTGTGGATTGCTGGGAAAGCTCTTCCTAATAAGCAGCGATGATGTCTGTGTATCAGGAAGAGCTATTATTATGAAACCCTTTTACTGGTTTTTCTCTCCACTGACCCAAAACCACTTCCTTTTCATGTAGGTCTGCAATTTGAACTGTACACAGAAAGATGAGGCATATGTAAAGAAAACCTGTCAATTAGGTTACCTAAATGGACACCAAAGTAATTTATTGTCTAGGTTTAGTCAGTTGTTCCATCACTCAATGACCCCTCCCCACCTGGAAAAAGGAATTGGGAAAAGGAAATGAGACCTGTGGGTTGAAATGAAAGCAGATTTAGTGAAACAATAATAAGAACTAATATTAATACTAACATAAAATACACAAAGTTATACTTAGCCAATGAAAGCGCAGTGGTCACAACAAGCAGGAGAGTAGGTCTCGGGAGCAGAATGGGGGGTGAGACTCTCCAGGGGCGGTGGCCATTGAGGACAAAAGGTCATCCCTAGCAAACTTTTCAGTTTGTAGTGAGTATGGCGTTTATGGTATGGAATACTTGTGTTGGCCGGCTTGGGTCAGCTGCCCTGGCTCTTGCTCCTCCTAGCCTTAGCACCTGGCTAACTCTGAACTGGTAAAGGCTTTGATCACTATGGAAACCTGCATACCATGGCTGGCCACAGACTAAAACAAGGAGCCTTATCACCTTTCTTATCCACTCAGACTGGGTACTGCAGTCTTCTTAAAAAGCAGCTTTTCTGACAGAGAATTAATTCTAGGATTCTGTCCCAGCAAAACCAGGACAATTATTTCTAAAATAGTTGAAGCATAGGGCTTTAGGGTGACAATTTCTGATGTACTCGAAGCCTTTCTGCCCTGGTTTGCTGCTTCAGACTTGTGTCACACTGCCTGTCAGAGGGCTGTCAGGCTGATCACAGGGCTAACCTCAAAGCTCCAAGCTCCTGTTGCTTGGTTTTACTCTTCTATTTCCTACCTTATAGCTGGGGGGGGTGGCAGGGGGAGAAACAAACAAGAGGGGGAAACAGAATAAGCGGATTTAATCCAGACACCCTTTATAGATTAAGCTTTTATAATCTGTTTGTTGTTTTTCCATTTTGAAACAGTATGCCACGAATGTAAGTGCTCCACAATTAATTTTTTTGGCGTATATTTTGTTTGATTGTATTTCATGTCAGCAGTCTGGTGATAAGAGGTAGGGCCTCATTAAATATGTATAAGTAAATATTTTGAAAAATACTTCCTGTCAACTCAGTCTGAGGAAAGTAGATGTGCAGTGTGTGTCAAAAACTCCAGGTTGGGTTTTTTTTTTCATTGACTGGCTGCAGAGTGAAGCAAAATCAGGCATCTAGTTAATTATAATCTTTCATGCTTCATATTTTAGGTAGATACGTGAGGAAGATATCCCTCTAATTAGTGGTGTTCAAAGTTATGTTTACAGCCCGGATGAAAGAGTGGAGGATGTAGGCTGCAGGGGAAGCAGCATGGAGACAAAGCACCTGATCACACGTGCTGGTTGGGACAGGGAATTTCTGGGACAGTTCCTTTTCTTACAGTCACTCTTCCCTCTCTCTCCTCACAGCTCCTCCAGAGCCTTGTCCTCACACTGCGGTGGTCTGCCAAGGCGGGGTTGATCCTCTCCTGGTCTTTTACTTTTCTTCAGTCTCTGTCAGCCATTTAATTTGACTGCTTCTTTTACCCTTAAGGAGAGAGAAAATCTTTCATATCGATACAGTGGCTGCCAACTTGAGATCAAACTAATTCTAGCTGTAGTTATTTTTAACAGCACAACATAACAATCCATTATGCTCCGAATAGGTGGGGTTACTGAAAGTTTTATTTCATGCTCTTGTGTACAGGCAAACTGACGGGAAGCAGATGTTCTCTTAGCATCTCTGAAGTTAGGCCAGGCACAGTAAGCGAAACTTCCTCACAGGTACTTGAGTCTGAGTTAACAAGAAAAGCAAATGCAGAAATAAAGGAATTGTCTGTTGTTATTTATTTATATTCGGGTTTGTTGTTTTTTTTTAATTAGAGTAATTTCTGTTCCCTTCAGCAAGGCATCCTGTCAAAACTAGCTGAGTTCTTTAGAAGTTGGTTTCCTTTTCCACAGTATAAGAAAAATGATGACATACTTCACCGACTGGTAAGTGATCGTTTTGATATTTATTTTTTTTTTCCCATTTCCTTTCCTAATCCACAAGTCTTCCTCTCCTCCGTACCTCATCCTCTGAGCACCATCTTTGGTCTTTATTGTTAGTTTTGACTCTAAGAGTTTTATTTATTTTTCAGATAATATTGATTCTGGTTTCCAGAGTTGCTGTGCCAGGCAAATTGGGCACTCAAAAAGAGGAAAAATACCAGTAGCCAGGTTGAAGATGCTAAAAATGTGGAAGAGAAGTTAAAATGAAACATGTGAGAAATTAAATAAATTCTTGAAAGATGAAAGGAGTTAACCTGCAGTGTAGCTGCCTCATTTGGTGGAAGGCAATGTGGAGATGCTAACTGAGAAAGTCCATATATTGCAGACTAGTGCCTTGCAGACACAGCTCAATACAGAAGGTTCTAGAGCTTCATCTGAGTATTGCTACACCCTCTGTTTCGGCTTGTTAGCTCAGGCATAGCACCACTGCAGTGCAGCTGTAGTACCCCTGGGCCCCTCCGGGCCTGTTTGTTTCTGCAGTGCTGTCCACAGTGCTTCTACATTTGGGAAACGTGAAGCAAACTAAGTCCCCTCTGTTATAATGCTCCAGAACGGTGTTATGAGCAGCAGACAACACGTGTGTAGCAATCTGGCTGCAGGGAGAGGCAAGGACAGTTCTCTGTATTACCTATATGCCCTCATCTCAGCTGTTCAGAAGCAAATTGGGTGTCCATCTACCTCACCAGAAGTTGTATTCTCCTACTCCTGGAACCTGCAGGAACTTACAGGGCCCAAGTCAGCCCGTGTGGGGTAGACCTGAAGGGTTATAGTTCTACCCTAGACAGTTAAAAATAATTTTATACTGCCTTTACACCTGTTCCTGCGGTACCACTTTCTAACCAGTTCCGTCTCTAGCCTGGGCTTGTCTGACATCTGCTTTAACTTGCACCCAGCTGCTTCAGGTTCTTAGTCTGGCTTGTATATGTGACATTAGTCAGACTGTTCCAGAATCTAGAAGTTAGAGTTTTGTTTTATTTTTTCTACTATGATATAGGGATGATGTCTTCAAATGTAGCTTAAAAAATCCCAATGTTGAGCAACATGAGAAGTTAGGGGTTTCCATTTCTCAGACAGTTCTGCTGAGTGCAATTGCTGTTTCTTCTCCCTTATCTCAAGAGGACAAAATTTCCTCTGAAACCTCTCATTACTGATCTCTGGTTGTCTTTTTTCTTCCTCTGTCTTCCCCTATGAATCAAAGGTATTCACAGCTTTTTTTAGCCTTACTTTCTTGAGGTGGAGACACAACCAAAGAATATGGAAAACGTGTTTCTCCTGCTGAGTGCTACAGTAGAGTACTGAAATGACACAGGATGCATCAGAGGAGGGCAGAGTTTCCTCTTGCACACAGTCCCGAAACAAACGTTTTCCATTAAAATAGAATGCAGTTTATCGCAAGTGACACCAATGTATGGAATTAAAATTTTGACTACCTATCTTATGGTTTCATCAATAATCTCATTTTATCAATGACAGAACTAAACAGATTTTGTACTGTATAATGTCATACTTCCGTTAACAGCTTCTATTTGAGGGTTTTACAGCAGTATTCTCCTTTCCCTCCTGTAATCTAGTTCGATGCAAAGATGCAGGCGTTCAGTGTTTGTTGAGTTTTGTTACGTCTTCCTTAACTTGAAGTATTTTGTAATTATAGTTCAGTGCAGTATGCAAATTAAAATTTCAGGGGGCTTCTCTGATGGATGTATTTGTCTTCAAGAGCTGTGTGTTTGAAGAGCTATAGCTCTTCAAGAAAAAAACAGCAGATGCTTATCATGACATCAAATCAATGAGTAAGTAACTCCCTGAAGTTTGCCTGGAGTTTAGCAAGTGTGAGGTCTTCAGAGTCCCATGCTGTTTCATGTTTGGATTGAGTTCCCTTGGGAAAGGTCCCAGAATCCTGCAGAAAAGGACTTCACTGCCTTGGCCGGGGCCTTGAGTCCAGCACATTGACCCTACTGTTACTAAATGTTTACAGGTGACTTTTTGTTGACCAATTTGTAATATCTCTTTCTAATTTTTGTTTGTTAATAATATAAATTATGTCATGACATTTTTAAAAAAAGGGCTTTCTGTTTTATTAATAATCTTCTAATAGATACAGAACCTCTCTGATTCTTACGCAAATATGCTGGCATAATCTGTGGCATGGTTCCAGGTATCATTATTATCTAGGTCAGATCATAATGTCAGTGCAACACACCCTGCAAGTCTCAACTGTTAAGTAGAATGTGAGTTTTTAAAGTTAAGCAAGTTTAATAAAAATTAAGTAGCTACTTGTGATATGTCCGAAATACTCCTGTAGCCTTTGGGAACTGATGGTTGTCAGTAAAGGGTAGAATGTCCTTGTTCTGGTGATTTTAAAATTGAGAATTTACATATTCTTTACTAATGCCTGTTTTTTCTCTGCCTATTTGTGGTAAGGATGTTGGATTTCGATTTGACACGCTCCGTACCATCCTGCAACAGGAAGTTCTGCTGCAGGAGGATGTGGAACTGATTGAGTTCCTTGACCCCAGTATCCTGTCCGCAGGGCAGTGTAAGCAACAGGAAAACGGACAGCTTCCAACGCTACGCTCCCTAGCAACTCCTAACATTTGGTATTGTACAGAGAATATCTACCACTGTATTCACTGAGAAACAAACAAACAAACAAAAAAATGTTCTGTGTTCTTTATGTAAAATGCAGCAATAAAGTTACCACTTTTTTTCTCAGATCTTTGAGTCTTTGGTCTACTAGTCCCCAGATTTATGGATAAGCATGGGGTTTTTTTGCCTTGGGCATTTTATTGAAGGAGTGAATTTTAATCTGAGATAGCTACATGAACATAAATCGATATTTACAAACCCTAATCCATGCTATAAGGAACTAACATTGTTGATTGATTAATGAATTTTGAAAGCTATACGGTGGTGACTTTGATAAATGAGGCATGATTGTGTAAACTGAATTGGAAAGTGTTTTCTTTGCTGTGGTCTTCATAAAGTATGTTAATAAAAGGGAAGGGCAATTAATTTTCACAGTTTTAGAGTACCATAAGAACAGATTAAAGAACATTTAAATATGATGCATTCAGAGGCTGGTGAAATTCACCCTAGAATACTGAAGGAGGTAGCTGCAGCAGCGTCTGAGCAGCTACCACCTCTATTTGAAAAATCACAAGGATGATGGGTGTTCTGACAGAGTGACTTGCTCAGAAATGGACAGGAATCGGTAGATAAAAATATCTCCTAGAACAGCCCAGTGCTACGTTTGCATGTGTATATTAGGAAAATAGATAGAATTATTGTAAAACCAAAGCAAGTTAAAAAACACAGCTGTTTAAGATGTAGTATATCATTACTGATGCTCTCTGTCAAACAAGAGAAGTTTTGAACCACATTTCTCCACTGGTTTGTCCTGGTCCTAGCACTATTCATTGTTTCTTTAACTGTTCAGAAGATAAAGTACGCTTAGAAAATTGGTAAATATTGTTCACCTTGCAGATGACTCCCAGTTTTTGGCAGAATGGAGTTCAAAAGTAGTTTGACCAACTGGAGAAATATCTTGAAATCAACAGAAAAGTCAATAAAGACAAGTGTCTAATGCTACACTTGGGAAGGAAAAATCAAATAACAAACACAAAGTGATGAATCACTGGGTAGGCAGTACTGCTTCAGAAAAGGATCTGCACATTGTTGCAGAGCATAAATTGAATGCATCAGCAGGTTATCAAAAAATGGGAAATCCCATCCTTGAATCCATGTTATACACAGGACACAGGAGTTTTACTTTTCTGTTTGTGTCCCTAAGCTTTGTGCTAGCCTACAGCATCTGCTTTTAGATGCCACACTTGGAGAGGCATAAGTAATTTAGAGACAGTCCAGAGCAGAACAAGAAGAATAATGAGTTTAGAAAATGTAATCTTCTGAAAACAGAGTGTGTTAGGATTATTTGGTCAAAATAGAGAAAATTGAGGTGGGATGGAACAGTGTTGCTATGTGTAGAAGGTAGTTAGTAAGAAGGTGATCAGTCACCATTTATTCTGTTCAGAACAGGGAAGTATATGAAGAAAAATAAATGTATTAATTTACCAGTGATTCAGACTGGACTTGAGGGAAATGTTTTGAACTCTAAGGATACTTATGAATAGGAATTCCTACCTAGGGGGGTTGTGGAGTCTCTATTTTCATCTGCAATCTGTCTGATTATCTGGATTAACCAGAAACTGAAAATGAACAAAGTGATCTCTTAAATCCATTCTAGTCTTTCATTTTTGTGATCTTTTTTTGTGTGACTTTTATTATTTTTGAGTGTGTCAAGGAAGCTATAAACTGTGTGTGTGCACTTTTTAAAGTTAATACGTATCTGTAATATTTTAACCCTGGACCTTTGCTTACTCCTATCAGTACCACTGAAGAGTTAACACCTGTAAAGCTTGTTGAAATATCACCACAAAACTGTCCAGAAAATAGAAATTCAGAGATCATGTCTTATTTCAGAAATGGGAAAATATTCCTTATGAATACTTCCAAAACTAAATGCAGGATGTACAGCTTTGAGGGGTGAAGAAAGTTAATATTTTTCTTTCTAAAAATTCTGAAAAATTAAAGTTTTTATGCATCTTGAAGCCCATGTTCTGTCCATCTCTGTTAAGACTGTCATAATTTTATAAAAAAATTATAATACTGTATATGAAATGTAGTGTGGTTTTTAACAGTTACTTATTTTTGTTACTTTTTTCCTAGATGAGAATAACAGCTTTATGAAGTTTTTAAAATGTCCTTAAGAAACAGCTGAACTGAGATACTAGTGACTCTGTTCATTAAGGATTTTCAAAAGCTACAAATTATTTTAAATTATTATTCAAGCCATTTTGTTAAAAACAAGTGGTGTGACGTTCTAGTTAAATGAGTCAGAATCTGGAAAAAATAAAGCTGGCATTACTTGAGGGTTTTGTTACCAAAAGAAACATGCCCTTTCCTACTGTACTCTTGAACCTGGAAGTACAGATATTCCAGTTCCTACCCACGCTGGCTTATAATGCTGAGTAGCCAGGTTTTTTCTTTTTCTGTTTTCTTTTTTTTTTAAAAAAAAAAAGTCATATGTGTAAGAGAAACTGACCTTTCAAAGTGGTACATTATTCTTTTACTCATGCCATAAAAAAGCTGGAGAAATGTTTCCTTAGAGTATACTGACCAAGTAATATCATGTATTTATACATCTAAATCTGCCACTGGGAGTAGTTTTCAGTGTTTACAGCTGCCTTCAGGACCTACATAAAGGCCCCGTAGTAAGATGTTTTAATGTCACATGTAACTGAAAGCTTCATGATTTTCCTGCTTGTTTTTGACCTCAGGAGTCTGTGGATGATGATACTTTCTCTGTTTGCAGGGATGTCTCACTGTTTCTTGCCGTTGTAAGTGCACTGCTTATGCTTCCTTCGTGGTGGAAGGAATCATCGTGGCTGCTGTGGGGACTAGTTCTGCTTGTCTACACAGTCTTTCGAGTGTGGGGCACATGGAGGACAGCCAAGCTACAAATGTCCCTGCGAAAATACTGTATCCAGCTGGAAGAAACAGTGGCAAATAGCCGAGCTTTTACTAATCTCGTGAGGAAAGCTCTACGACTCATTCAAGAGACTGAAGTAATTTCCAGAGGATTTACCCTGTGAGTCTATATTTCTCTTTATTTAATACACAGATCCATTCAAGCCAGATGTCTTCTAAAATTGTCTTTTTACACTGTCTCCCATAACAAGTGAAATTGCTGAAAAACATAATACTTAAAGCTTTTTGTTTACGTAAAATAGTATAATTACCATTCATACTAAAAGTATGAATTCTAACAACTCATTGTGAAAACCATGCATCCAGAAGGAGAATTAAGTGTCACAAAATTCATATGCCTTTGAAATCTTTTACTCCCCTAACAATTAAATACATGAAGAAATTTATTTTTAAGCAATTTAGTTAACTATTTTGGGGAGTCATTTAGAATCACAGAATCATAGAATGGTATGGGTTGGAAGGGACCTTAAAGTTCATCTAGTTCCAACCCCCCTGCCATCAGCAGGGACACCTTCCACTAGATCAGGTTGCTCAAAGCCTCATCCAGCCTGGCCTTGAACACTTCCAGGGAAGGGGCATCTACAACTTCCTTGGGCAACCTGTGCCAGTGTCTGACCACCCTCACAGTGAAAAACTTCTTCCTAATATCTAATCTAAACCTACCCTCTTCCAGCTTAAACCCATTTCCCCTTGTTCTATCACTACCTGCCCTTGTAAAAAGTCCTTCCCCAGCTTCCTTGTAGGCCCCTTCAGGTACTGGAAGGCCGCTATAAGATCTCCCTGGAGCCTTCTCTTTTCCAGGCTGAACAGCCCCAACTCTCTCAGTCTGTCCTCATAGGAGAGGTGCTCCAGCCCTCAGATTATCCTGGTGGCCCTCCTCTGGATTTAGAGGACTGATTGTTTGAGGGTTTTTTGTATCTTATATTACCAAATCTATGTAACTAAACTGACCTGCAAGTTATCATTCATATTTTAGTAAACAAGATGATGTGAAAACCATTCTATTTTTATTTAACAAGTATCAGTCTGAAGTAATAAGAACACAGCAATCAGCAAAAACCATCAAAGGTCATTTCTCACCTCAAAAAAAAAGTTTACAGTACTTTTTTTCTTGCATACAATTGTTGATGTGCTTAGAATCTTAAATTGTTTAGTGGTGAATTTGCCTCTTGTCCACTTAAGGGATGTGAAAGTGTTCCTGGTTATTTAGCTCTTGTAGCTATTTGGTAATTTTCAGTTATTTGCTATGTGAAAAGACATCAGAACATGTTCAGTGTGTGCAGTGATCCCAAAGCCGACAGGCCCACTCCTGTACCATGTGTGCTTTTCCCTTGTAACAACCTATGGTTAGATATATACCTGTGCCAGTTAGACTTACGGTTAAAGGAGGTGGGAAACTCCAACAACTAAAACCCAGTTGACTTCTTTCTAAAAACAATAAAAAATTCCCCTGTGTGCACCAATAAATTGTTTGTTCATGCCAGACCAACTACTCTGTGCTCCAGCACGTGTTTTTACATGCAGACTTGAAACTGTAGACTTAACATTTCGAATTAATTTTCTAGCTTGAGATACCTTCAGTATGCTTCATCGAATAAATGTTTCATTCTCCCTTTGGAATGCGTAAGCATGTCTTCAGTCTGCCTAGCTATGTGGTTTGTTTTGGTTTGGTTTTTGCTGAAGAAGCATATAGTTAAGCAATAGGCAGGCTTATCTTTGCAAACGAGTTCTTAAAAGAAATTATTGTTAGGGCTTGTCCAAATTACAGATGAGAAAAACATTTGGATTTTTTCCTAAGTTTAAGCAAATGAACTTGTGGTCAATGTCTAAATTGCTGGTGCCTTGTTCTTTTATTGCATATCTCAGATAACAGATTAACAAAAAGCAGACTGGTCTTTAAGCTGATGCTTGATCAAATAGCCTCTTTACTTAAAACTCTGGCAAGCTTTTCAAAAGACTTTGGAGTATGGATGGAGTGGGAGAAGTCTGACTCTGCCAGCATCCTCATTGGAACAGTTGTCCAGTATGAAGAAGTCAGTGCTGTACAGGTTTTTGGTTTGGTTTAGCCTGGAGGAAGTTCCAACTCCAGAGTGTCCGTTTCTGCATCCGCATATGCAAGAGATGCTACTACACGGGGTGCTATGAAATTCTTTGCTTGAGATAGCACTTCATATATGATCCAAAAAGCTAGCTACCCCTTTTTTCTTCCAGAATTTTTCTACCATAAACCTTAGCAGAACAAAGTTTAATATGTTCTCCCATAGCAATCTTGTCAAGTTTTAATGCCTGTTCAGAAAGAGTCACATGGCAATAGAAATGGTTGCATCTGTAAAGTTAACGAGTATCTTCTTGTGTCATTTTACATCCTTGAAGGAATGGGATTTCAACCAGGGAGCACAGCACCCTGTTCAGTGATACGTTTGCTGCTGTTTTAATATACTGCTAGCTCAGCATAGTTTGGGCTGTGCGTTAACCATGTTGTGAATTTGGAGATACTGAAGCTGACATTTAAATAGTACTGAGTTCAGATTTTGACTAGCTGTACTTAACTATGATATGGCAAGCCCAGGTCTGCAGCTTTGGCCTGAAGTTCCTTACTTTCCACTGCTGTTTTTCCTCCCCATTGCATCTTCCATTGCTATGTTCTCATAGGCTAATTTACATATGCTTTGAAATGTCCATGACTTTGCTTTATTCGACCCTGTTTACCCCTTGTTAATTGATATTTGACTGTCTCTGTAAATGTTAAATTATTCTTGATGAGGTTTTGGTCAGCTCTTCACTGGTTTACTACTGTGTGGTAGTGACTGCTATATGCTTAACCAATTCAAGCATTGTTTTGCCTTCATTCCCCTCACACCCAAAAATCCCCACAGCAACCACTTAGAAAAGGAACTAAGACCCCTGTCAGACCTCTCTTGTATTAGCTGCTCTCAAAGGCAACTGGATATTCTGATTTCAGAATGGCTTTCAGAAGTGTTTAATGCTGCTGTTGGCATTTCAGGTATGTCTGTGTGCTACAAGTTCTGCAATGCGGACATGGCTGAGACTTGACCAGGGTAGTTTGGATTACAGAAATTGTGTACCCAAGGTTGGGCAGTGCTGTGCTCAGGTGGAATGGCAGTGTTTCTATCTAATTGCTTCATCTGCAATTAGACAAATGAAGCCTGATCCTGGGTTGAAGCCTGGAATTTCCGCTGGGTAATGAAAGTTATGTCCATTGTCTTGCACATTATAAAATTAAAACTGTAGGAATACAGAATGAAAAGCTGCATTAATAAGCAGCAAGTAGTTATTTTCTTGTCTGTCACTGAAATAATTAGCTTTTCTCCAAAATGCTCCCTTTCTCCTATATTTTAAACTAGAATCAAGCTCTACGAGCATATATTGGTGTATATAGCATCTTTATAGAAGTGCTTTCATGTTGGAGTGCAGTAATAGGTTTTTATTAATGTGTCTATACAAGTTAAAAGTTGAGAGCCTATTTAAAATTTGGCTTGTGAGATTAATGAAGAAAGTCACTGTTCTTTACAAGTATAATCAGTTGGGAGCAGTAGGAAAGAGGAAATTCACCCTTAACTTTTTTTTCTTCTTGCTATTGACTTGTTTAACATTCACCCAGTTCCCAATTCAGTTTATTTCCAGATGAGGCAATTTCTTACAGTTCTAAAGCCATTCTGAAGTATATTCTAATAGGCAAATGGCACAGTTTCTTTTAAATGGTATATTCACCTGAGTATGTGGACACCGAAATATATTTTCAAATATGCTTGTATAGTTGCATATGTTTCATGTGTTTACTTGTCACATTGCCACAAATGCAGCTATCATTCATTGCAGGATTTATAAAATCTAAGTCACTGCTAAAATAATATTTCTGTTGACCTAGAGAAGATTCTGCATGGAGAAGGTTGAAAGAATACAGTGTTTTGCATGAAAACCAGTATGTCATAGCACATTTTTTCTGCAAAAATTATTTAAAGAACAAATTTGCCTATATAGATGTATTTGTTGAATATATGTCTGTTCTAACTTCCAGAGCTTACAGTGGGCTTGTGATAGTTTTGTATTAGAGATAATGTTATGGCCTGTCTACTCTTAGTGTATCATTGTGTATCATAATCTTAGTGTATCAAAACTTAAAATTTTGGAGAAAACAAATGTTCTTAGGAGTTTTGCCATGGCTCAGATGAGAATAGAGTCAGGCTATCTACTGAGGAATCCTGGCTGCTTATCTGAAATTTTGATTAAATATATCATTGAGATGATGGTTTGGGTTTTTTTGCTCTTGTAGTTACTGAGTGGTTTGAAAAAGTTTTCGAAGTAATGGAATAAGAAATCTGATGTACTGTCTTTTAAAAATACTTTAGGACATCTGTACAGTTGTATCACATTTTACTTTTCAAGTTTGCTTGACAGGGTCAGTGCCGCTTGCCCATTTAATAAAGCTGGACAGCATCCTAGTCAGCATCTTATTGGTCTCAGGAAAGCCGTTTATCGATCTGTTAGAGCCAACTTTCGAGCTTCAAGACTGGCTACTCTATACATGCTGAAAAAATATCCTTTTTGTAAAATCCTACAAGTTCAGATCTTCCATGTTACCTGCTTGTAATTGTGCCAACGGTTAGAGTTAGTGTGTCTAGAAACATACAGTATCTAATTACTTATCTAAAAGGTAGCATAGTAAATTGGGGCTTATGCTTGGTTTGGAACATCCTTAAAATTTTTGTCTTTTTGTGTACTGTGCAGTGTGAGGTAAAATTTTGCGCACTGAAAACTTTGTCCCAGTTACTGACACCCACACCTTTGGTGCAGGTACTGATAACGTGTTTCAGAGTCCTTCAGGATTTTGTTTTATAATTCCTCTTAGCCGCCTTTTTCCCTTGCACTAAAACCCCCTCTCCTCTGAACATCATGGCCTTTCACTCGATGTCCCTGTGTTCAAAGGTAAGTTGATTTCCTGTTTCGGACAAGCTGGGTGAAACTCTGATTACATTAATTAGCCAAAAGGCGCATTTAAGAGCGAGGAGTTTCCACTCTGAATCAAAGCAGAACACTTTGTTCAGATTCCATTTTCTGAAGTGTCACCTGTGTTTCTTCGGTGAATTGTATACTTTCTTTAGTGGCATTAGCATTTTAAGGGTTTTTTCTATGTTTATTGTATTTACTATAATAGGAAATAACAATGTCTTCACCCTGTATTATAGCAAAAAAAAGAAAAAGAAAAAAAAAGATAAATATTCCTGAATAAAACATATACAGGGGAACAAAAGCTGGTGGTAATGCGAGTGTTGAAAATTTGACATGGCAAACTACTTATTTTGTCTTCCTGGAACATAATATTTGACTAATATATCTTGTCTGGCAAATGGATGGATGTATCAAGTGATGACCTGTACACACACACAGAGGCACATGCAAAGCTACGAGTGCATGCATTCATTTTGAAGGAAGTGAATATTTATTTGCAAAATAATTACTTGTGTAGGGATAGGCATCCTCATTCTGGGTTCAAGACTTCACTCTTAGCTCTGAGGAATAAGGTGTATCTGCTATGTAAAGCAATACTGTGATTGCTTCAGACATGTTGATAAGAGGAACTGATACCTAGCTTCTAAGAACATGGTAAGAGATCTGAAAATGGGATCATTTAACATGGCCTTCCCAAATATCCTTCAGCATGATAGTGTTGGTTATGACAGGTGTGTACATTGTTGCTGTGGCTGAGGAGGTTACAGGTTCAAGGAATATTTATGTGTATCAAACTAGCCACAAGTTTTGTAACTACTAAACTTATGGAATGGCTTTTAAGGGATGGGAGAGAAGAAAGATTTGTTTACTTTGGATAATTTGACATTTATATCTGTCTTTGGAAATTTTTTAAGATGGAAGTTCCATTATGCCAAATTATCATGCAGATATCACAGTAGTAAGGGCCAGCAGAAATAAATGGCCAAAAATTTACTGAAGTTGCGTGCATATTGGTTCTTGAAAACTAGAAAGACAAACATTTTATTTGTGCAGAGCGTAGTGGCAAAACCAGCGGCAGCATGTGAACTGAGATGCAGGCTGGGCCAACTCTGCAGTGCATGAAAACTGAAAGCAAGGAATTTAAATGTGAGGAAGATGAGTAAAGGATTCCTCCTCTTCCCCACTAGGATAACTAAGAACAACTTTAAAGTAGTTCCAAGTTGCCTTAGTTTGAATTTTTCCCCACGTATTGTGAATACCTGAAAATGTTCTGTGTATTATCTGGGCATTGATGGCAAGGAGCATCTTTCAAACAGATTCCACTGCCTTATACAATTAAATAGTTCTGTTATGCTGGGGGGGGAGGGGAAGATTCCTTCATGTCGAAAGCATTCACAGCTGCCACTTGTGACAACTTTAATGCCCTTATCCGTCATCAGGTTGTTAGCACAAATCAAATCTGGCCTACAGCAAGGAGAAAGGGACCTGGAGAGATTAAATAAAGGAGTGAGGTGATAAATTGAAGGAAAGGAATGGTGATAAATTAAAGGAAAAGACCTTCCATCCAAAGTCTGGAAATGAGAGCCCAGTTCTGACTTTTACAGTTGTTTTTCATAAGCTCTGCTTTGCACAAAATCAGAAGATATTCTCAATTTTATCTCCACTAGATTATTGAAGTATGAACTAATGAATTGCTGTTTGAAATTCACTTTTTCTGAGTATTGTGAAACATGAATCCCATAGCACTATTAACGATTTACTCTGGCAAAAGCAAAACAAAATTTTTTTTTTAGAGGAAAAGAATATTAGAGAAACATTCCAAATATTTAGCATGTGTATTAATATTACAAAGTGACATAAAAAAAACCCCAAACCCTATTTTTCCTGGTTAGTCATAGTACTGCTTAAACAAACTTTTTTTTTTTTTTTTTAATGGATATTGCTTTGTATCTTTGTAGCCGAGCAGATGTATCTCCGTATTCAGGCAGGTGAAAAACAGTAATTTTTGCTCAGAAGAATTTTCAGTAGGAATTTAATATGTGAAACACCTCCTAGTCTCAAGGACAACAATATTTTAATCTTCCCAGGTAATACACTAAGGATCAAAGCTTAGTTCCATTTTAACTGATGGCTAATCATTCTGTAGGGCTATTTTTCTCCTTAAAGAATAAGGAAGGAGCAATTCCTTAAGAGTGTGAGCATATATCTAGGACAGGCACGGCTTTGGAGTGGGCATTTCATGGAAACGTTTCTATGTGTATAAATGGGAAATAAATTTCCATATTACAGTGCTTTCCGTGGGTGATGGAATTCAGTTGATAGGGCCACATGGGCATGATATTTATATACCATTCGACAACAGCGGTGAGCCTTTGACCCTTTCTATGCAATGTCCAGTTATCAAAGTAAGGTCCTAGTGTGTTACTGGGCTTCCTGAGTGGTGTACTCAGTAAAAAAGGATGACAATGTGAAGTATGCCCTATTTTCCTTCAGCCTTGTGTTTCTTATAATGAACCTGGAAACCTGAGATTGAAATTTATAATGCAGTGAAGATAATTGTCACCTTGAGGCTGTGGTAAATACACCTTGGTCTGAGATATGTCTATTATTACATATAATGGTTAAAGTAATACAGAAAATGGTATTAAATTTACTAATGTAGTAAAAGGTATACTTTGATTTAAGGTAAGCTTTCATTTAAAAAATTCTTTTATGTTCAGAACTTACTAGAATTATCTGTAGCTGAATTATTTTTCAAGTTTACTATGTCAGATTATGCCTTTCAAAAATAATTTGCAACAAGATCCATTTACACATTTATGGCTTAATAAGGGCTGATAATTTTCTCTACTTTGAAAACATGCATTTATATTTGGTTAACAAAACCAACTGCACAGCCTCTTATAGGAACTGTTTTCTAAGAAAAGTTGCATGTATGTAATATTGAGTCCAAAAAGTATTAAGAAATAAGGAAAATCTATTTCAGTGGGGCAATTATTTTCCCAGAAAAAGTAATTTCAGTGAATGATGTTGTACAGGCATGTTTGAGCTAAGTTCTACTGTGAATTTTCATTTTTACATTGTTTTAAATGTAGATCTTTAAAAACTATACAGTTAAAAACACAAATGTTTATTCTTAAGAACATTTATAGATTTGTATCTCATTTTGTCAACAAATGAAAACTGCAAAGCTTACTGTTGCTTTATTTTACACTGCCTTGAGAGATTTTTTTGTTAGTAATGTTAAGTAGGTTGCTAAACATATACTTTAATATATCTGATTATTTCTGAGATAAGCATCAAATTTGTGCTTTGAATCAGTAAAACTAATCCTCTTGGACACCAAAGGGAAACTACTTTGAACTTAAGCTGCTTGCTGTGTGCGTAACTTCTCAAGAGAGACAAGGAAGAAAATATACTTGAGGGGCTGAGCTGGTAACTGTTGGTCTGAGTCTTAAAAGTATGTCTAATCTGTCTAATCTAAGTATTAATATTAATTGTAGACATAAATGAGTGGCTAAGTAAAAATAAATTAGTAAATACATCTTAAATGTTAGGGGATATATTGATCTATGCTAAGCCATCAGTAGTATTTCTCCTACCAAAATATCTGCAGCAAATTAGGCTTTTATGGTAATGTATATCTCAGATGTGTTAGAGGGAGATCTGGCTGATGAACTTGTTACAGAGCATTAAAAATCTTCATTCACAGCTTTATGCATGGCAGTTCAAATTGCATAAACCTGATATGTTATCATTCCTCACTTCCATAAGACTAGAAGTTTAGTAATACTTGCTCATGGCTAGTGTACCCCGTTTTAGCTGGACAGCTACTTTCAGTGAGTAGAATAAATGTGTACCTTCCTAATTAAAACTTGTTTCTATGTAAAACAGAAAAAAATACAATTATTCTTTAGCCTTATTCTAGATATTTGTATCAAACTTGATAGACCAGTAATATTTAATGAGATAGAAAGTTATATTCCTTACATTTGATATGAAATGACAGTTGGGTGCTTGCAGAAACACTTAATCATTTTCTCATGGCTTACTTATTCTAATTTTTTCATATCAGGAAGAGCTCATTTCTCAAAATCATAGAAGAAAAAATTAGAAAAGAGAAAAGACTATTTCTCTTTTAATCTGGGATATTAAGGTATAGCAGGATGCAATGGCTGAAAGCTTAAGCTAGAAATTGGACATTTTGGGTTAAGTATTTATAGGATGTTGCACAGACCAGTCACTACTAGCTCAGCAAATCTCTGCACTGTGTTCCACTGAATTGTGTAATAACTTGGGCAATACTTCAGTCGGCATGCTAGTTGCTCAATATTTTTATACTTAAGATCCTTGTGGGTTCTGCATCATGGGAATCTGTGGTTTATTCACTGATTTAATTATATTCAAACTGGATAGAGGAAATTCTGTAGCTTATGTTACTGGATGAAGTTAATAGTCTCATCCTCAGCTGGTGCAAGATGGTGTGATACTCCATTTCCATTGAACTATATTGAGAGGTAGGACCTGGGGGTTGGACCATATAAACTCAAGCAACTTTAATTTTGTTGTAAGTGTAAGGTGTCTTTCTCTGATGGCA